GATTACAATATGACTGAAAAGGATTACAATATGACTGAAAAGGATTAAAAATCAGACTGAACTGGATTATAATACGATTTAACTGGATTTTAATCTGACTGAACTGAACTAGAATATAATTTGAATTGAACTGAACTGGATTATAATCTTACGAACTGGATTATAAACTACAGAACTGGATTATAATATGACTGAAATGGATTATAATATGACTGGACTGAACTAGATTATAATTTGAATTGAAATTAACTGGATTTAACTAAAGTAAAATATGAAGGAAGTTCACACCTGTTTGACATGAACCTCATCTCACCTGTAGAACTTGGAGTCATCCTCAGCTCTGATTGGCTGCAGGTGTTGACGGAGCTGCTGGAGTGGGTGGGGCTTTGGCTGTCCGCACTGGACGACCTGGACAAACTTGACCGCTGTGCAGGGTTCTAGTGGAGGAAATCAGAAGGTTTTGTTGGATCAACTTAGTCCAAGTGTGTGGAGACTGTACTACTTTAGGCGTACTGCTGCGTTACCTTGGAGGGTTTGACCTGCAGTGGGATTCTAGTCTCAGAGTTCTGCAGAGTTTCTTCGCTGTCAGCCGAGGTTCTGTGTTGCATGTCGTCGTCATGGTAACTGTCGATGGTGCCATCAGCACAGGAGCCTGCAGACGGAGCAACAACACGGTGATGAGTCCGATGAAGCTGACAGACAGTCAGAGTTCACAAAACTTAACATTCACGTCTTAATAAAATGAGTTTTATGATCCGAGTTCAGCTGACGTGGCCACCTGTTATTCGTGGAGTTATCCAAAAGATAAATAACAAGAGTTAGTTAACAAAGAAAACCTAGTTACCTGAGCAGAATTAGTTACTGTGGAGATTTAGTTACCCAGCAGGAGTTAGTTATTTGAGGAAAGTTAGTTACTCAAAGAGAGTAAGTTAACAGAAAAAGAGCTAGTTATTTGTGGAGCATCAGTCACCAGAGAAGAGTTAGTTACCTGATGACAATTAGTTACAAAACAAAACTAGTTACCAAGAAAAGTTGACTATCAGAGTAGAATTAGTTACCAGCTGAAAGTTACATTCGAGAAAAATGTGTAATACTCAACAAAAGTTAGTTACACAAGGAAAATTGGTTACTGCAGAGAATTAGTTACTCAACAAAAGATAGTTATCTGAGGAAAGTTAGTTACCCAAGAAATGTAGGTTACCAGTAGTCTAGGAGAACTAGTTATCTACTGAGCATTTGTTACCTGAGAAGAGTTAGTTACTATGGAGAGTTGATTACTGTAAAGAGGTAATTACTGTAGAGAGTTACTGTAGCAAGTTAGTTACTTTAGTTAGTTACTGTAGAGTGTTAATTACTGTATAGTGTTAGTTACTGTAGAGTTAGTTTCTGTCGTGAGTTACTGTGGAGAGTTAGTTATCGTATAGAGCTGGTTACTGTATACAATTAGTTACTGTGGCAAGTCAGTTACTTGATAGGAGTGAGTTAGCTTTGGAAGGTTAGTTACCCAAATCAAAAAGAGTTAGTTGCCCATATAGAGATAGTTATCTGTTAAGCGTTAGTTATCTTTCTGTGGATTGTTTTTTACCCGAGCAATGCAAGTTATCTGAGGACAGTTACCCAACCAGATTAGTTACCAAGAAGAGATGACTATCAGAGATGAGTTAATTACCTACAGAAAGTTGATTAACTGAGAAAAGTGTGTTACTCAACAAGTTATTTACCAAAGAGAGTTAGTTACTCAGTTACCAGGGTGAGTAAGGTACCTAAGGAGTGTTAGTTAGTCAGTCAGTCAGTAAGTTAGTTAGTTAGTTACCTGAACTTGTTGCTGATGAAGAGCTGCTTCTGTTGGATGAAGTTTGGTGAGAAAGACTGAGACGTTCATCAGAGCCTGGAAAATACTTGAACACACACACAACTCAGTCAGCATGTGTGTGTGAGGCGTTTAGGGACATCAGGTTAAATAAAGTTTGTTTTACGGGTAAAGTGGCAGAGTTTGCTGTTTTGTCATAACTGATTGGTCTCTATCTGGGGGTGTAGCAGAAAATGTAGGCGGGACAGTACCTTCATCAGGTGGCTCATGGTGTCCCGGACCTCCATCATGGATGGTCTCCGGCTGGGTTCTTTGTCCCAGCAGCGGGTCATCAGAGTCTCAATGGGTTCTGGAAGGTCTCTAATCAAAGGAGGGCGAGTACCTGTGTGACAGTAATCTGTTGTTCAGTTTGAGGACAAAGCTGCAGGACAATCTGCAGACTCAAGGAGGTCAGATCCTACTGGACCTGAGACATCCTGAGAATCAGTAGTGGGTTTGGAGCTCTACAAGTTTTGATGTTCTGCGTCTCACCGCTGTGCACAGCCCACATAATGCAGAACGCCGAGCCGCCGATCTCTTCAAACGGCTTCCTTCGTGTGAGGACCTCCCACAGGATGATGCTCCAGCTGAAAACGTCACACTTCTCGCTGTAGTTACTGCCTGAAGATTTATACACGACAGAAAGAGTCAAGGTGGAGCTCAGGTGACACTGGGAGGCGACAGAAAAGAATGCTGGGAGCTGAAACAAGCAGGGATGCAAGTGAAAAAGCAGCAGCGTACAAATAGAGAAGGAGCTGCAGCCGTGAGTGAGTTTTCTGATTACACTTGAAGTCAGTGAATGCAACACCAAACACATGAAGAGCAAAAGGAGAACGAACCTTCAAAGACCTCCGGAGCCATCCAGGCAGCGCTGCCTTTGTTGTTGGTCATGCAGGTGTGGATGTCGCACGCTGTTCCAAAGTCACAGATCTTCAGAACAGTTCCTCGAGCTACGAGCAGCAGACTGACACAACCAGAGACACACACACACAAGTTCACAGAGCTGCAACACAAAAACACTGAGCTATGACACAAAAACACTGTCCTAAAACGCAAAAACACACCTACAATACAAAAACTCTATCCTACAATACAAAAACGCTGACCATCAGTACAAAAATACTGACCTACAATACACAATCACTGACCTGTCAGAAAAACACACACCTAAAACACAAAGACCTACAACACAAACACAGACCAAAGACACAAAAATAAGGACCTAGGACACAAAAACTAAAACCTACAACACCAAGACTCAGCCCTTGACATTAAAACACAGAACTAAGACACAAAAATATCAAACCTAGTGGACCAAAGCTCAGACAAGACAGAAAAAGACCGACCTAACGCACAACCTAAAAGCACACACACCTACATCACTAAAATAAAGGCCTAAGACAGAAAACCACACACCTACAACCAAATAAAGCTGACCTTCAGTGTGTTACACAAACCCATACTCATGTTAGAAAAACACAAACCTACGACACAGAAAACTGACCGACAACTAGACGGACACACAACCTGTGCAGGTGACGCGACAGCGCTCTTACTTTGGCGGTTTGAGGTCTCTGTGGATCAAAGCCTTCGGCTTCATGGCGTGCAGATAAGCCACGCCGTCCGCGCACTGCAGACACCAGCTCATGGCGTGTGCAGCCGTGTAGTGGGGCAGCGGGTCGGCGCTGTGTAGAACTGACACACAACAGGAGACTGAAGCTGTTCCTTCGATGACTCACGACTGATCAACACCATCAATGAGACGACATGAGGACACTTACGGTTGTACAAAGAGCCACACTCTGCGTACTCCATGACCAGACACACCTGGCAACACAAAGAGTGCACGTTCAGACTCACTGTCCAACATCAGCCGACAGGTCCGGGGTCGAGTACTCACCGGGTCGTCACAGGAGCCGTACAGCTTCACGATGTTGGGATGACTGACCCGCGACAGCTGCCGGAGCTGCACACACAAACAGAGTTGAGTTAGGATGTGTTGATCTGGATCAAGTAAACCTGAACTTCCTGTCAGAGCCACATCTGTGTTTTCCCTGAATCAGCACGTTACATCTGGAGAATAAAACTCCAACATGACGAACATGATCTGGTCTTCACCAGGTTCCAAAGTGCTTCAAGTCTGATCTCAAGTGAATAAAAACACAACAGATTCCACCGAGTTGTGTTTTTTTTTTTTTTTTATATAAAACGAAAACAAAACGTTGAAGCTGAGGGTGAAAAACCGGTTCCAGCCTCGCCGCTTCCACAGGATCAGAAGCTGCTGATCAACTGATCTTCATCAGTGGGACCATCTCTGACCTGGAGCGTACAGGTGTGTTAACACAGCGCCAAGGTGGAAAGACATCAGCAATGATCTTAGAGAAGCAGCTGTTGCTGCCCATCAATATAGGAAGGGTCAAAGGTCATTTGGAGTCCATTACACTACACAGAGAAAGATTATTCACACGTGGAAAACATTTAAGGCAGTAAATTCACCCTAAAGGTCAGACTGTGCAATGCTCGGGAAATGAGCTCCATCTCACTCTACAGGCCTCAGTTATCAGGTCAAAGGTCATGACCTCTCTAAAAACACATGGCAGCACGACTTAGGTTAGGAAAGTTTCATCTGAAGGAACCACACGACTTCTGGACCAGAAGACAGATGTTTACCCAGAATGCACTGCAGCAAACAGCTCCTCCCAGCTGTCAGCACAGTGGTGGAGGAATGATGGTTTGGACACCTGTCAGTCACTGAGTGGACCAGGAACTCCTCTGTAGACAAAAAGATTCTGAACTCAAATGAGTCCATATCTGTCCAACAGCTGAAGCTTGGACTGAACTGGGTCCAACAGAACCATGATCCCAAACACAGCAGCTGATCTACAAAAGAACGGGTCAGAGAGAACAGAACCAAGGTGCTGCAACCTTTCAGTCAGAGTCCAGAACCTCAACCTGACTGAAATGCAATGGTGGGACCATCAGGGAGATGAGTAGAAACCTCAATAATGTAAAGAAGCGTGGGCCAAAAGTCCTCCACAACCACGAGAGACTGATGCAGAGACCCACTGAGGGTGCTGCTGCTGAGGCTCTGCAGCTGATGGATGGACCTGGAACCAGTTTATCCTCTCAGGTCTAACAGTTTGCATCACATGTTTTATGTTTCTGTGGACCTGAGATCAGATATGAACCCTGATAGGTTCGGTTCTGAGTTGACCCAGTCCTCGGCCCTGGGAAGTCCTCACCTCCACCAGGAAGGCGTTCCTCTCCGCGTCGCTCTCGATGGTCTTGATGGCCACATCTTTTCCATTCCAAACCGCCTTGAACACAACTCCAAACGTCCCTCTGCCGACAGCCTGGACAAACAAACAGGACGTGAGCCCTGAGGAAGGACATGGTCCTGCTCCTCTGGTCCGGACCTCGGCCCAGTTACTCTGCTCGTGCACTGAACTTACCGCCTCGAACTGGATGTCATCGTACTGAATGTCCTCGAACACCATAGTTCCCGAACCGAAACCCGGAGCCGCTCGGCTGCTGATCTTAAAGAACAAAATTTGCCGAGGACGAGGACTGATTGAGGAAGTGGCGTTCTGCAGCGATTCCTTAACATCCGAGCGCACGTGAACGCATCGCCGCGGCGGAAGAGCGGCGCCAGCCCTTCACGCTCACGCACATCTTACATACCCGCGCGTATTAATCATCAAGACCACGTTAGAAATCGCTTCACTGCGATTGTTTAATTTACGCGATTTAATTTTAGCTCTTGAACGCATCATATCATTGTTGTAATAAGTTTCCAGCAGGGGGCGCCAAAAACAACCGAGCTCTGCAGAACCTTCAGCACCCAGGAGTTTGATGAACAGAATAGAATGGAAAAAATAAGAACATAATATTATATTAATATTATAATAATAACATAAGAAATAATATTGAATATAAAATATACACTGTCATGACTTTTGCCATGTTTTGTCTTAGTTACAACCACAAACTTCAAAGTATTTTACTGGGATTTCATGTGACAGGCCAAAAAAAAAGTTGTAAATAATAAAAAATAAATTACAAATTAAAATCTGAAAACTGTGGCATGGTTTTGTTTTAGCTCTCTTTACTCTGACACTAAATTCCAATTCAACCATTTGTATTCAGGAGTCGGCTGAGTAAGCAAAAACAAGAGTAAATTTAATATTTTTTTATTGTTTTTAATCCCAGAAATCATCTGAAGTGAAAATAAAGGTGTGAATACATTCATAAACACTGTTTATTTAGTTCAAATATACACAATTACAATTCTGTTTTTCAAAATAAAAGGCTAGAAAACCATCACGCCGAAATATTCATCATTTCTTTAAACACCTGGTTGTATTCATAGGAATAAAGCTTGCTTTTATTGCTTTGTCTTTATTTTTAAATCACTTTTTGACTTTAACAAAGTGGTTTAAAATGAGTTTTATCAACAGCAATACAGATTTAATGTGTATTTATTTTACAATAATAAAGACAGATGGATGTTCCACTTGGCAAGTTTACAGTTTGTTTCTAGAAACTGAAGTTTTGTTTCCACCAAACTGAAACAAGGTTGGGTTGTTGTTGCAAAAGACAGAAACAAAACTGCAGAAATACTTCAGGTTTTAAATATGATTTTAACACTGACTGGATAGATAAATGTTGCGTTCATCCCAGATTCTTGTGATTTTTCTAATAAAGTGCTACCAAAATTAACTGATGGATGAGCTTGACCTGTGCAGGTGTGAGAATATAAAAACCACCAGGTGAAGGATTTACTGTTTACGTTTCATCTGAAGTTGAACTTTGTTGGCAGTGAGGGGTTTTTGTGTGTCAGGTCACTGTTCTGGATGTACCAGAAACATTTCAGCTCTGTTTTCTACCAATGTGTGGGAGTTTTCATCCAAACAGTTCTGAGCAGTTTCCTGTTTACATACAGGAAGTTGCTCAGGTTTTATTTTTCTGTGAGAATAACGGAACCATCAAACTGCACAAACGGGAACTGCAAGAACAAACAGGAAGCTGTAAAAGAAAACAATAGGAAACAAACAAAAAAAAAAAAACAGGAAAAACAACAGCACACGAGAAGACAACATAAACTGAAAACATAGTAATTATGTAGAATATTAGATAAATAGTTCTGTATTTTGATTTTACTTTTATCATATTATTAGCTAATTCTCTGATGATAATAATAATATTACTTAAACTTAAATTTATGATGTTTAATATGTTAAATTGTTTAAGCACATGTTGACCTTAGGAGGTATGACAGAAGATATTTTTACATGTTTATATGTATCATTGTAATTTGAGATTGCCATTTGTTATTCTGTTCTTGTGTTCCTTTGTTCTGTATGTTGAAAAGTTTAATAAAGTTGTTTTAAAAAAAAAAAAACAATAGAATAGACAAAAATGACAGAAAACATGCAAGAAACAGGAAAAAAGAAAACAACAGGAAAGACAAGAAACAACTAAACAAACTACAGGAAATGGACAATAAAACAACAAGAAACAAAAGTAAATTAATTCATTCAACCTTTATTTAGACAGATAAGTCACATTGAGCCTAGAAGACTCATTTACGAGTGAGATCTGTTTAGACAGACAAAAAGTAATGAAACTGGACACGTGACATGACAGGAAACAATACAATACACAAAAAGACAACAGAAACAGAAAACAGATAAAAATAAATAAAAACAGATAGAAAGAAAACAAGAAAAAACAACAACATAAACAGGAATTCAAGGAAAACTATAGGAAATGACTAGAAACTAAAGGAAACAACTTCCTACAGCGTTCGCTGACCAACAGCTAACTGGAATCATGTCAGATGGCTCCTGAACACCAAACTAAAGTTCAGCTTTATTCTCCTGGTTTTAGTTTCTGAGCTGTTACACAATAAAAGTTCCACATTTAAGTTCAAATACTTTGTATAAATCTGCTCTCAGGTCCCAAAAACTTCCAGTTTTTGTAAATTTAGTGTTTCTACTGGACATACTGTGACTTAGCTTATATGATGAGGTTTGGTTTCCCGGCTGTTTCAGTCCCATTGAGCTGTTGTGAATTGGTTCCGCTTCAAAGACCATCCCAGTACTGGTTCAGTTTTTTGATCTGTCCTAGTACTGGTTCAGTTTTTTGATCTGTCATAGTACTGGTTCAGTTTTTTGATCTGTCCTAGTACTGGTTCAGTTTCCTCGGCTGTCTTTCTCGGCTGCTGTTGACCTCTTTTTGTCTGCGCTGCTTCCTGTTGCTCAGTCCGGACATACTCTCAAACACTTCGCCTGAGCGCAGGGCGGACACCAGGTCGTCAAACTCTCCACCCTCCTCTTCGTCATCCACCATGGCCTTCCTCACCCTCTGCTCTCGTTCCTTCCTCATCTGCAGGCAGAAGCACGGAGATCAGGACCACAGGAGGTGCTCGGGTTGTCTTCAAAGAACTTAAGGGTTCTGACCTGAGCCTCCATGAGCGTACGTTTCTCCTCCTCCTCCCGCCGCCGGACCATGTCCTCGTTGTCCTGCCGGACCTCTGAGGACATCGTGAGGAAAGTGCTGAAGATGCCGAAGAAGTCGTCCGGTTGCGGGTTGGACGTTTCTTCTCCGAAATGTCTCAGCGCCTTTGAAAACTTCAGCAGAGAACCAGGAATGAGTAGAAAAAAATAGCTGAAGTCCAAAGAAAAGCTCAAAAGAAGAACGTTTTATTAAGATTGCTCAAATTCTGGCTGCTTGGAAGGAAAAGGTGAAGAAGAACTGGATCGAGCGAGAAGCTTCCCAGTAAACCCACCTCGTTAGGGCGAGGAACTCACCAGGTCTTTGGCTTCTTGCAGCGAGTCCTCCACCTCAGAGAAGCTGAAGGACGCCACAGTGATGAACTGACTCACGACGGGGACAAACTTGTCGATGGGACGCTGAGAGGACTGGGCCTGCTGGTACTGCAGCTCCTGCAGACGTGCACAGAAACGCACACGTGTAACGTAACCTCAGTGTTTCAGTCGGTTCCTAAAGCTTTTCTGAGCGTGCTCACCGCCTCGATGCTCTTCAGTCCGGACCTGAGAACGCCAATCTCCTTCTCGAGCTCGGTCATACTGCAGAGACGGACACACTTCGATTCATCAACACGATTAAATCACAGGATAAACAAAAAAATTATCCTGGTTAAACTGTTTGTGCTCCGTCTTACTTGACTTTAGAAGCTTCTGGGACGTTCTGCAGCTCCTCGCTGAAGGCAGCAGCTTTAGGGAACTTCTTCTCCAGCACAGAGATCAAGTAGTGCAGCAGAGTGACGTTCCTACAAACAATAAGAGTCCATTACCTGGATCAGGTGATCTACTGTAAACCACATTGAGCTGAGATTCAGGTCTACAAAACCATGACAGGCTGAGAAGACCAAGGTCCACATCACTTCAACCACAAGGGTCAACGAATGTCAGCAGGATCCCATCGTACCTGTCGTTGCTAGACTTGGTGTCGGCTATCTTGTTGAGGCTGGACACTCTGAACCCGTAAGCGTTTCCTCGTTGACCTTTGTTCATGTAGTTTCCAAAGGCCAGAACCACCTGGAGGAGCTGATGGAGCGCTTGACTCTGGACCACCTCCTTGGACGCGAGACTGAGAGCTGAAAGCAGAGGAGCACGAGGAGGAACGTGAGGAGGAACCTACAGTAATGTTGCTTCGATGGATCCCTGGGTGTCTGGAACTGAACCCGTACCTCTGATTCTAGGTTTGACCTCACCCACTCGGTCATTAAACTTCTTCTTGAAGTAGAGAGTCTGCAGTCTCTGTTGGTAGTGGTTGATTCTGGAAAAAGGACAGAATGCTGAGAGGACTCAAGAACATCTGGATCAACATCTAGTGAACACTACTGGGTTTTCCTAACTTTATGAACTAAACTGGTTCCTTAAAATAAGGTAATACAGTTTTTTTTTGTTTCTGAATACCAGATCCTGCATCTGTCCAACCAAACCCAGTTCCAGTCCAAAACCAGCTGACACACCACCTTGTCTTGTTCCAAAATAAGCTGATGCCCAAACTGGTCTCATTTTAGGACCAGCTGACGCCCCATCTCGTTCCAAACCAGGATCAGCTGACGTCCTACAGGATCTGGTCCCAGAACCAGCTGACATGCCAGGTATCTCTTCACTCCTGGAACATCTGGAGAATTATTCGGTCCCACTTTCTCATCTGCCATCTGGTCAACCCTCAGAGAAGTCTTTGTCCCAGAACATTTCAAACAGCCTGGACCTTCTGTCTGACCTCCTGACCCCCCTACTGTCTGTAGTGTGTTTCAGCCTTCACACGTTGGGTTCTGTTTTAAAAACCTGCTGGATCTGGTTTTTGTAAAAGTTTTATATGTTTCCAGGAGACTGGAAGAAGATAAGAATCTGGCAGCAGATTAGGATTATAGCTTTCACTTTACGTTTGGAGTTGTGTGCTTTGCTGTGTACCTGCTCATGTCGTACAGGAAGCGGTCAACTATAGCCATGCGTTCCAGCTCGTGTTTGTGCTCCTCTAAAAGCTCAATGTCACTCTTCTCAGGAACAAACTTTAAGAGCTAAAACACAACATTAGACAACTGTTCATGTGGTTTGTTGGCCTAAAAGAAACGTGACGTTTTAGTGTCAACGTAAAAAAATATCAAGAGACAGAACTGGAGTTTCACCTCAACATGCTCCACCCATGTCCTGTGTTGTGTTTGTTACCTGCTCCAGCATGTCTTTGGGCAGCTCCTCGTGTTCATCCATGGTCAGGATGGCGTTACAGATCTCCTCATTGGTCATCTTCAGTCTGTCGCACAACAACATTTGTATCTTAGGTCACACAGGACTTTTAAAATCACAAAGTTCTGAGTTTGCACACACTGAAGTGCAGACAGTGAGTCTTGTATAATTAACCACACACACTGCTGACAGTGAGCACCGTACGGTTACACAAACACACTGCAGACTAGGGCTGAACAATTAATTGCATTTGCAATAATATCGCAATATGATAAAACAGATTTTCTAATCGCAAAGGCTGCAACTTGACTACGTGATCTGGTTACGTGACTCGAGTGAGCGGAGCAGAGCAGGGAGCGGGAGAAGTCACCACTGCGTTTTAACCGGTTGCACAGTGGCGTCAGGATCGACAGAAGCTGATACATCTGAAAGTTTGGTACCAAAGAGGGGCGGCACGTCCGTTGTTTGGAATTATTTTGGCTATAACAAAGAAGACTCTGTGCAATAACGTGTTGTGCAGATTCAGAACCTGCCTTGCTGCTGTTGCTACCTCTCGAGGTAACATCACTAATCTTTATCAACACTTAAAAACACCACAAATAAATCCATTTACGATAGTTTCATGACTAGAATGCCAACGACCAGTGCTTCAACTTAAAGTAAGCAAAGTAGCAGCCGACAGGGATCACTGACCGAACTGTTCAAAGGTATTACTCCGTATGAACATAACTCGAAACGGCATGTGGAAATAACTCGAGCAATAACGGAGTTCATAGCGAAAGACATGATGCCCATTAATATTGTGACCAAGCCTGGATTTACGGCTTTGGTAAACACAATGGATAAACAGTACAGAATGCCTTTGCACACACATTTTAGCCAAGTTGCTATCCCGGAGCTATAGAAAAGAAAAATGCAGGAACAGATTTGTAGCGGAGCTGAAAACAGTGGAGTTTTTTTGCAACTGAAACAGATTAATTTATTGTGTGTGTTCAATGAAAAATACATGAGAAGAAGACGTTGGAAAATAATTGCATATTAAATCAAAATATTGATGTAAAAAATAAAATCGCAATTAGAATGTTTTCCAAAAACCGTTCAGCCCTACTACAGACAATGAGCCTCTTACAGTTAAAACACACAGCAGACAGTGTTGTACAGTTAAGACTCACACTGCAGACGGTGAAACACAGTTAAAGAACTACAGTCGTACTCAGAACCAGCTTCAGAGACTGACCGTGACAACAAGATGCTACAGTTATGAGCTCGGCGGCCATCAATCACTGACAGCTCCTTCGCTTTCTTAACAGTCATGTCCTCCCCAGTTTCCTTCTGTACAGATACACACACACACACAACTGTAAAACCTACCAGCACAACTCTAAAGTGACAACTTTCATCACATCTTTACCACCTCAAACTGTTTACCAGTTTGTAAAGCGTTTATAATTTTCTATATTTCTGCATAAATTTGACCTAAAACATCATCAGAGTTTTACACAAGTCCTAAAAGTAGATGAAGAGAACCCAGTTAAACAAACGAGACAAAATATTATACTTTGTCATTTATTTATTGAGTAAAATGATCCTATATGACATATCTGTGAGTTTCAAAAGTATGTGAACCTTTGCTTTCATACCTGGTGTGACCCC